TAAAAATTTTCAAATCTTTTCTGTTTAATTAGTATAAAAATGCAACATATCTTAAATTATTAATGTTATGCTTATTAAAAAGAACTCTATAAAACAAAACACTAGGATTATTTAGTGATTTAAAGTATATGTATGGTATAACCTTAAAATCCCTAGTATATGCTATAAACATACTTATATGTATATATAAATTTATCTTTTTTCAAGAAATATAATGAAACAACTGTGTATTTTCGTTTTACACTGTAATAAATAATTGCACATATTGACTGAATTGTTTTTTATAAATCAGTTATGATCCTCCGTAAATGTAATAAACTAACAAACTTTGTACATGTATTATAGTTTCCTTGTGCAAAGAAACAATATGTCCACTATCCTTTTTGGCGTTCGCACTTTTCTATTTATTATATACTACAATATAAATGTGAGATGATGTGATTGAATTAATTGTTCTTTTTCAATAATGTACTATATTGTGGAACTTGTTCTTGAATTTTATTTGTGAATCATGACAGAGTCGGAACTTTGCCGGCTCTGTGCCGAAACCAAAGAAAATTTTATCGGAATTTATGAAGCAGAAGGACAAAAATTAGCTATAGAAGCTAAAATTGCTAAATGTTTACAAATTCAGGTAAAAATAGTTTTCTTTCTTTGTTATTCTTAATAATTATTGTTTTTAATATAATAAATTTAAAGATTTTTTTTTTATTCTTTCCTTTGATAAAACATAGTTTTTTTTTTTAATTTCAATGTGATATTATGTTTTAATATTACTAGATTAATCTCTATATTTATAAATATATACGTAAATTGTATTAAAATTCAAATTAAAACACTGCTGCAGGTATTAACAAATGATGGATTGCCACTTACAGTTTGTATAGATTGTTGTATTTTATTGAATCAGTGTAATGAATTTTTTGAAAAAACCAATCAAGCACAAGTGTCTTTAAGACAATTACTTCTAGATCGCAAAATTGAGCCACAGCCATTAGAATCAAATATAAATTATAGTGATAAAACAATTGCATTTCCAAAAGAAGAAATTAACGAAGGAATTGTTGGATGCCACTTATCAAATTATATCCATGATACATCTAATGTCTCACATAATTATTTTATTGAGGAGAATAAAAATGGTAACCATCAAAAATATGAAAATGAAGAACCTCAAGATGTTATAAAACAAAAAAAATGTAAAATTCAATTTAAAAAATCAACGCTTAAACAAACTAGAAAAAAATTAAAACGAAAGAGTCAAAAAATGGAAGACTCAGACATGTATATAAATGCTAATTTGAAAAAAGAGCATAAAAATATAGACATAAAAACTAATATTAAAATTCCAGATAATTATATGACAGGTAAATATTCTCATCATAATAATAAGTATGATCATGATACATATACTTTTAAATTTTAATTTTAAGTTTAAATTTTAAAATATATTACTAGTAGAATCGTTTTATAGTATTCATGAAGAAAAGATGAAATGATTGATAAAATATTTGTATTAACTATTATTTTTTACTATGAATATAGACATTTTTTTTAAGTTGGATAAAACTTAATCATTTGATATATAACAAATTTTTCTAGGAAAACTACGAGTGAAACAAAGCAAACTCTCATTTATTTTAAATAAAATAAAACATTAATCTTAAAGAAACTTTTGTTAAATTGAATAATGTTTATTTTTCAATAATACTTTTTATCATGCAAAACAAGTTAAGTTTTACAAAAAACAAATAAAAAAATATGCAAATATTGTTTTGAATGACATTAGTCATTGATTGAGGTAAAATTCTAAGGAAAATGAAAAAATTTCAAATATAAAATCTTGGATTTTGTTTAGAAGATATTAATCCTATAATGCTGAAAAGTATCATATAAAAAACAAACTAGTATTAGGATTGCAATTTGGGACATTCAGAATATCTAAAACATTTATTCAGAATATCTAAAACAAATATTTAAATAGAACAGCTAAAAATACTTATCTTTAAATATATTTAAAATAATATTTTTATATTTTGACTTTAGTTTTCTACTTTTATTACAGTTTTAAAAGCTGCAGAAGAAAAAGCAATACAAATAAATATTTATTTAGATAATAATTATCTTAATTTAAAAAGTTGATACTACATTCCACATAAAATAAATGAGAGTGTTCCTTTCATATTAATAGAGTCACTTTAGAAAAATTTACATATTAATGATTAATTTATCTATTTCATTGAAGTATAGAAAAAGAAAATCAATTATTCTTCAATGATTTTTGACTGAATAATTTATTTTTACATTATTTGTGGAATATATAGATACATACATATATGCATACATATGTATATGAACATAAAATGTTCATACTATTAGCTTCTAGTAATTTCCTTTCACTATTTTACTAGATGTTATAAAGCAAAAAAACCTAAATGTTTTTTAAATTTATTATAATTATCATAAAATAGTAAAATGGAAATATCTTTATATTTCATTATAATATTTTTTTTATATAACTTTTTTATGTTATATAAAAATAATTATTAAAACAAATTCAACAATCTGTAACATAATTGAATTTAAAATTGATTACAAAAGTTAAAGAAATATTTTGTAAATTTTAATATATTTATGAAGCAATATTATTAGAATAATCAGATTATTTCATTATTTACTTATTCATATTATAAACATTCTTGTAATTACATACCAGAGTATTTATGATTGCATCTTAAATAATTTATAATTTTTAAATAATAAACAATTTATTTCAATTGAAAAACATTTCAAAGCAAAAGAATCTGTAGGAAGAAATTGTATATTTGAAAAAGAAATACAAATAGATACACTTATAAATACAGTTATAAAGAGATAAGTTTTTTGCATTTTGAAGAAAATCCATTTATTTCAATACAGAAAATAATTATATTATGTAATATAAGTTCTGCATAGAAAATGACATAATTATAAACATTTAATTATGCAAGTATTAGAAAAAAGAATTAGAACATTACAAAATATTAATATTATTAGAAAACATTATTATCACTAAAGACAAGAACACAGTTACTTTAATATTATTTTCTAGAAAATAAAATAGTACATCAACTAGTACATAAAAAAATATATATAATTTACTGAGAAAAATATAAATGATGAAAGACTCAAAAAAAAAAAAAAAA